TGTTAAGAGCATAGCTGCTGGATAGCTTTATATCTAGCTATTTGTGGACTTAGTAGAATTTTGCTACCTTTGTTCACTCATTGTTTGGGCTTTGATTAATGTATTGGTACCTTTCATTTCTTTTGCATTAAAACACTAACATTTTATACTTGCTTGATCCTAAGATGCTCACTGAAGTCTTCCAATCACACTACTACTATGGTTTGAATAGCTGACATTAGGGAGAAGCGAAGACAACGAAATTTTACCAAGTCCACAAGTAGCTAGATATAAAGCTATCCAGCAGCTATGCTCTTAACAGCGCAATGGCGCAATGGGTAAGTAACCGCGTTCACAGCAACGATGCCGGTCTCGAATCAGCGTGGATGTATTCTTTCGCAAACGATGAGAATCTTTTTTTTTACCTCCCACTCTTCAGCCGACAAACCCCGCTGAAATGTGCTCACCAAACAATCCGGGCGATATGCCTTGGATACGCGCCTAATCATATCCCAGGCACTCCTAGCTCAACCGGCGGTGTAGTAATGCCGCGGTTCGTGAAACCAGCCCGAACCGTCTCCTTGAAATACACTTTCTGGCCACAATACCGACTAACGAGGTGTTAATCTTCGCAGTTTTAGCCTCTACATGGCGTCGTGGTGTGTTATCCGGACTGACAATAATTGCAAGTACAAGTTTTGTGGGCTTGGTTTCGCTAGTTCGCCAAATGCGGCAACACTAGCATGGGAAATATTTTCGTCAGGGGCTAATTTGCCTACTCCATCCAGGGACACATCAGCCTCGGAACTGGTCGTTCATCTCTTCATTCCATCCAATCTTTGAATCACGAGGTGCAACTTGGATACGATGGGGTCATCAGCACAACTGAATGCTTGAAATGATGGTAAGTTGTCCATTAAGCCCTCAACTTGCTAAAGGAATTGGCATTCTAGCTCCTATCTCTGGCTTGGCTAGCTCCCAATGTCACGCTACTGACTCTCAGTCACGTCAACATGTCCATCACTGGCATGTCGCTCAATGTAGCAGAGACAAGATATGTTACCTCTTGGCTTGTTGTTTCTCCGTGATCTTCTAACATTATGACTCAGTTGAGGCTCGCGAGGATTTTGACGACTCGTGGATCTAGCCCGGTGACCTCACGGCCCAGATCCTCCATCTTGATGCTACGTATGAATCAGAGGCTGGTCCCGGAATGGCTGATGACGCCGGTATCAATGCAACTCTCATACATGTCTAACAAGCGGTATGACGAGTTCTTAGGTCATTAGAATGGCCAGGACTGCACCAGAGGAATTGTTTCGAATTTATCTTCATTTTTCGCCCTATTTTCCCGAATGTCCCGCTTTTTTGTTCGTAAGTGGCTGTAGAGGTGGGACAGTCCCGCCACAAATGTTCGTTTGCCCGGTCCGTGGGACATGGGACGAGCAAACGGTCGAAAAAATACAGTAAAACCCTATCTAGGAGAAGTTCTTGCAGCGAGCGGCGTCTTCTTTAGACAGAAGGAGGCATTACATTGTCAATTCACGCGTTGTGTTCTTTCGAGCATGCTACCATCGTCAGATAAATAGGGCTACATCCATGTTTCAACGCTGTTTCGAGCATGCTGCCATCTTCAGTTCGTAGAATAAACTAATGTGTTGAATGCATCAGCACATGGCCATGGCGAATGGGTCGTCTACCTTGCTCAATGAACCCATCCATCCTGGTGGGATGCCAGTGGATAGAGGATGCAGCAAGATAGCGACAATCAGGAGGGTATCCGCAAATTACCAGGTACGGAAACGCATCCAGGCAGGGGTCTCATAGACCAGCCTTTCACGACAAAACTACTAGTCTTACAGCTTTACTACTGATGCCACAAAGTACTTCCTGAGGTGCAAAACGCAAAAATAGTGCCTCCCTCAATCCCAGTTACCCTAGGAGTAACGGGCAGTTTGAACCGTTCCCACGGGCTCACCCTATTATTTACAATAAGTTTACAGTAACATCACACTTTTTACCTTAAATTGTTTCCAGTGCCAGATAGCATTTTCCATCTTTATCGGAACCCCCAATCCATCTTCCCCCATTTCCTCGCCCATCGTCTCTTTTTATACCCCCTTTGCACTTTTTCCTTTTGGTTTTGTGCTTCCTCTCTCTTGTTCAGAAAACTTATCTCGTTTGCCTTCGTTATGTCTTTCAATCTCTTCTCAGTTCCTGTTTCACAATCGTCTCAGACGTCCCATGGTACCCAGCTGATCCGCGGGGTCCTTGGCCTCCCTTCTCCCCATGACTCGCCTTCGAGCCCTGCACCCATCTTGCCTGATTTTGCTATCCCTGTCAACCACCTTTCTCAATGCTCTCCAGTTCCTACTTCCCAGCCTCTCGACGACTATCCGAACTGCTGCTCTCAGATGTCCCACGGCACCCAGCTTACTCATGGGGCCCCTCACACCTCTTCTCTCCCCGGCTTGTCGTCGCCAATCCCTACACCCAGCTTGCCTACTTTTGCCACCTCGGTCGACTCTCTCTCTCACTCCTCTCCAGTTCCTACTTCCCAGCCTCTCGACGACTATTCGAACCACTGGTCTCAGATGTCCCATGGCGCCCAACTCTCTCATGAGCCCTCCCACACCTCTTCTTCCCCCGGCTTATCCTCCAGCCCCGCGTCCATCCAACTTGTGGCATCCATGAGAGCGGACCTCGTGCACAGCGACGAAGCCGATGTACTCCATGCTCATGATCCTAATCCGTTTCTTATCTCGTCTCCGGCCTCTCGTGCACAGTACATATTTATACACGAAGATCCCTCTGAAGAGCAGACTGATGATGCCATGGCGGGAGAAGTTGAAGAGACTGACGACGTGGCCATTGATGGTGCGACCGCCAAATACGCCTTTAACCCCGCCATCCAAGCGCTTGAGCTTGACCTGGGGGCCTTCAACGATTCGATGGTAGCAGTAAACGCTGCCATGAGTCAAGTGCTGGCGTTCGTTGTTGCCCAACGCCAGCATATTATAACATTGGCCGTCGATAGTCCGGAGGCTATGTCTTTGCTCGACCCTTTTTCCAAATCCCTGGCGACTGTCGTAGATATTTGGAACCAAGCCATTGACGCCAGAGTTTCTGCCTCCTATAGCGCTCGTTCGACCCAGAATCGATTTGCATCGGCTACTCAGCCTTCCCCCTCGGCCCCTCTTGGGAAACACATATTTGGGAGCAAGGGCTTTAGCTGCCCCTCTAAACCAGTGTCATTTGTTGACGCTGTCAAGACCTCCTCCAAGATGGAAGCACCTCTTATTCCTGTGCCTGCCAGTCAACCAGGCTTCCCAAACGAGCCACTGACGGAGGTTGTAGGCCCAGCTAGCATTGCCGCGTGTCTGCCCAACACCAAAGCAAAGACAGAGCGTCCTCCTTCTGCCACCAAGAATGTCACTATTACCATCAAGGATCTCTCTTCGTTTTTTGCAACCCGGGTTCCCTGTGATGAGGAACTCATTAACATGTTCTTGGATTTCAGCGCTCACCTCCCAGGCACACCCTTCCATGACCTGATATGCATCACGTGGTCCTCTCCATGTGCATTCCGCTTCACCTTTAAGTCTTACGTCAACGACAACATGGTACACATCTGCGAGGAGTTTATCTCCGTACTCCCATGCTGGACTGATCAAGTCTTACTTCCTTTTCTCACTGAGAATATGTCCGATTTCGGACATGACGATTCTGCTCCATCTTGATTTACTGCCAGTGATTCGCCTTCCCATGCTACTAGACACCAGGGCCGCTCAGTTGATTGCCTGGGGCTCCAGTTTATTTGTGGTTTCTACATTTGTTCGCTTCCTTTTGTTATAGGTTTTACGCTTGTTGCAGGCCTTGCGTCTACCTTGTTTTGTTTGCTTTTCTTACTCGGGTACGTTACGTCCAGTCATACAGTCAGTTCCATAACAGCAATGCCTTCGGGTCACCCCTATATCTTAAGCATGCGACGTCAAAATATTGAAGGTCAACCATTGTTACAATCGTTTTCATTTCGATAGACCAGTTTCTGCTCTCGTGGAGCAAGAAACTCTGTTTACTCCTCGAGCCTCGTTGGTGTGCGCGAATGCACTGGAAGGTCAGAACCGCTAACAAGGAGATAACATTGAGTCAGGGATGGACGGGCCCGTGAATCGCTCAGGACTACCATCCACTTTCTCTTCAGGCAGCGGTATGAATGCCAACTCGGACTGAAGTGTTTAATATGCCCATGCGTCTTTTGCAAGTGAACACTTTCTACCGGGATAGAGGACATCCCCCAGATGAATTGTGGATGATGGAATTATTGAATGCTACACATTTGACTGCAGGTTGTATTGCATGTCACCTACAAATGGGCCCACTGGTAGATGTCTTTGACAGGATTGCACGCATAGCTGTTCAGAGGCGTTCCATCCATGGGCCACTCTGATGTTACAACACTTGGGGGCATCTGGTACATGTTAAGTCAGTCATTGCTGCACATAACTAGTATCTTCAAAAATATGGTAGGATTTTGTTGATCTTTGTTTGATGTCTTGATATGGGTGTTTCCTTTATGATCTTGGCCCGCGATGCTTGTCCCGAACAAATCCCGAACGTGGTGGAACGACACTTTGCTGGTGATTCGTGCAACTATGGTGGGTTTTTGACCTCAGCTAAGCCCTCTGGAAGATTATGATATGGTGTGAGCTCGTGCCCATTAATATTGCTAACTTCGACCGGAGCGCAGCGCGGCGTGTCTTGTTCTACATTCTACATATTCTACATATAATTAGAGAGCAGTGTTTTTCCCACGGGCATGCTGGAAGTTGATTGGCCAGGGACCAAGCTTATAACCGCCCTTGCACCCCCAATGCAACACCCTCAATGCAACAGGGTGAAATTGTTCCTTGTCCCATGGCTCCGACGCTCACACATATCTCCCGCAAACTCAATGAACATATATATGAGGGTCTTATGCTATTGTACATGTCTTTGAATAATATAGCGCAAAAGCTTGAGCTTGCCAGAGGGATGCCGGAATCGTGACTCTTCTCTCCAGCTTCTCTCACCGTTGCACTGATGATGGTCACCGTTCGCGCTAGAGACGGCAATGACCTACAGAAACTTATACCCCTGCCAGAAGAGACAGCCAAATTTCCGTAAGTCCTGGAACATTTTCGTCGCAGGCCCGTCCTGTGAAATGAGGTTTTGAAGCATCCCCGAGACCCAAGCTAATACTGAAGAAATCCACGAAGCGCCAAAGTGGACCGATTCCCTCCTATACGTGTATCAGTTGATTTTGGGACCTAGGACCAACCACCGTCATGTACAGTCTGCGTGGGAGCCGATATCGGTAATAAAGGAAAATTACGGCGTCATTGCCGAGCCGGATTCGCCGATACGACGGCTATAAGATTAAAGTGAGCCTCGAGAGAACACTCTGTCATCGGTCCAGAATATTGAGAGCTTGTGCCTTCTGGTTGCGCCCAGGTTTGTTTCAGTGGGTGCGGAAGGTGTTATGTCAATAGATGATTACTTACTTGTTCACAACCTGAGGTTATCTCACAGCTGGTTATATTGACCCGAGCTCAATTTTTTTTCAAAAGGGCCCATTTTCTCAGGCTCCTATACAGCCGTCATTCCGAGTTAGTGAGGTGATTTCTAGTGCGGTGGGTAGTGTTGCCGCGGTTCGTGAAACCAGCCCAAACCGCCTCCTTGAAGTACACTTTCTTGCCACAATACCGAATAACAATGTGTTAATCTTCGCAGTTTTTAGCATCTACATGGCGACGTGGTGTGTTATCCGGACTGATAATGAGTGCAACTACAGGTTTTGTGGGCTTGGTTCCGGCCAGTTCGTCAAATGCGGCAACACTAACGGTGGGGACCTAGCAAAATCTGAGGGCGTAGTTGACAATACCGATCCCGCCCGGACAATTTCAATATCAGCAACCTTAGTTGACCTCACACTCTCCACGACGGCTGCAAGAACGCTCGCACGTGATCGATGGCGGTGTCATCGGCTAGCTTCGGTTAAGGCCAAACAGCAGCTGAGTTTGAAAATGAGTGATTTGGGCAGTGCGCGTCACACTTGGGGCAAATGCCGTTATTACCTCCGAGAATATCATTTCAGAAATCTATCGAAAAGCAAAAGTTCGCTAATCAATTTTCACGGAGAAGGAAAATTCATCAGAGAATTCACCGGAGAAGGAAAAATATAA